AAAGGGTCAAAGGGGAAACAAAAAGGACCATAAAAAAAAAAAAAAAAAAAAAAAAAAAAAAGGCTTCCTTTATATCTGTTGTGCTTTTCTAGCCACTATCAGGGTATCAGGAATCGCAGAACTGTTATTAGCTCTTCCGAAGCCAACAAACCAAAAAGCATTACGATTATAGATTTTAACAGCTTCACCGTCTATATACCAATTAATATTTAGCCTGCAGTTAAAAAAAAAAACTAAGAATACAGAATGAACAGATGTTATGTTATGAAATAAATGCAAAATGTACAAATTGTTCTTAAAACTATATATATATATATACATACACACATATACATACTTACTGCCTCTGTTCCATGTCCCTTGTGTTCCAGTATCATTGGGGTTCCCCTCTGCGTTCTGATGAAGTAATAGCTGTGCAACCTGCAGAACTACTTTATCAATGAAGTCTCTGGGAAGTAAAGCACAGTTCCTAATCTGTTCTACTTTGTCCCTAGGCCGGAATGATGGCAGCCAGTTCTTGTGTCCGGTCCCTGGATCATCTGGGGAAACATCTGAGCTTTCTTCTCCATTTGTAGAGTGATCACAGTGCACCGGATCTTCTCTGGAGCCTGATGTATCATTAGAATGACTGGCTATGTATCGAGTCCTCTCCTTGTCAATTTGGTCTTCCTCCTCTGGCAGGTACGTTCTTGATTTTCCAATAAGGCAAACCTGTGGTTAAGTGAAATCGAAAACAAAAATTATAAAATATGCAAGTGATCTTTTACAGATATTATTTTTCCACAATTGCATAACTATTTAAATAAACAATGGAGAGACTGTCATATAGGTCTAATTATGGCATTGCGCAATGCAGAAGCACATACACACAAGGGTTGGACTTGATGGACCTGTGTCTTTATTCAACCTCACATACTATGTAACTATGTAGCTTAACTGCCCAAGAACCTTTTTTTTTGGGGGGGGGGGCAACACCCTCTGAGGTCTGTAGGCATGTTTAGTTCTTGGCCTCATTCACACAGCTAAGAGTCGGCCCGTACAGATCCATGTGGCATGCTGTATTAGGCAGTTCCCATGAAGAACAGGTGCTGCGTGTGATTGTACGCAGCAGACTGTTCTTCTCTAAGGGAGGGCGCGGCCGTACGCTCACCTGAACTGCACACCATGCTCGGACGCAGAGAGGATCCATCCTGTCTGCGTCCGAGTAAGGACACCCGCACGGATGTGCAGTACGGGTGAGCGTAAGGCGGCGTACGGCCGTGTCCTCCCATAGGGAAGAACAGGCTGCTGCGTACAATCACACGCAGCACCTGTCCTTCCCGGGAACAGCCTGATACGGCTGTGCATGTTGCACAGATCTGTACGGGCCGACTCTAAGCAGTATGAATGAGGCCTTTACCTTAATTTCTACCGTTTCATTCCCCGAGAACATAATCCTACATCGATAAATAATTTAAAAAAATTATGAATTGTACTAAAAAGAAAAAACCATCGTGTATTTTCAATTCAATGGTTAAACCACAAATGTCTTTAATACACTTACTTGAATGTGGTATAGTAGGCTTGCAAAAATTTGAAACTCATTAAAAAAAAATTACTTTACGGTAAAAAAAGAAGGGGTAAGATATTGGTCACACAGCGAGGACATTATTTCCAATGGGTCACCTGACCCATAGACTTGCATTGCGAAGGGTACTAGGGAATTACCATTGTTTAGAACTGCAAAGTAGGAGGAAAAGTCTGCATATATAAAAAACATAATTGTATCCATACCTACAAGTTATGTATACAATTACAAACTGTATATAGCATAACTATACCCACTGTGTAGGCATAGGGTGTTTTCAATTCCATGGCTAACCGACAAATCTCTTTATTTAATACAATAGCTTTACTGTGGAATATGAAGCTTGTGAATTTCATATTAAAAAATGTACTGTATTTAATAAAGGGGTAAGATGTCGGTCACACAGGGAGTGACGCCTAACTCAGACTTGCATCATGAGGAGCACTACTGCATTACCATTGTGTAGACATGCAAAGTAGGAAGCAAAAGCTGCATATATAATAAAATGTGTAGATTTGGCCACCCCAAGTATGTATATAATTGTAAACTGTTTATAGTAGCAAGGTAACACAGTCTGATAAACATCAAGCTGATGTCTTTTACGAGTTTGTCCATCTAAAAATAAATTAAGACTATACATTCACTTTAATTAATGTAATTGGATATTCAATTGGTTACTAAAATACTAAAGGGGAAACCTTTAGCAAGGCTGAGGACCCTGAATTCTATATATTGAGAAGTGTGACAGGAGGAAGAATTTGGCATCCATTATGACCGTGGTTCTCAGCTGGTGGGTCGTGACCCCAAAGTGGGTTGCGACCCCATGTTCAGTGGGTCACCGTGTGCCTTTCACTGCACTGCGCAGAGATAAAATATGACCAGGTTAGCACTAATCTGTGTGTGCGTTACTGCACCGTAGAGATGTGAACCCAGCCTGAAGGATAATGTTGCTAGAGTCCAAGTCTGATTAAACACTTACCCTCTTGGTTGATGGAATTCTCAGACAATCTTCCTCCACATTAAAGCCACACTGAGTTCCAATATCAATGACAAAATCCAGGTATTCTCTATACTGGGTCTTCTTACTGGATTTCCTATTGAATTTGCCATAGAAGTTGAAGAAGCAGCAGGGTAGTACAAAGTAGCGACAAGAGTAGGAGGACCTAGGGGGAATGAACACTGAATGAAGCCAGACAAGGTTTACAAAGTACAAGTGAGATTATTTATCCCTGACCAGGAAAGACTCTGTAGGCTGCCATAGCTGCTATTTTACAGAACTTAACCTTAAAGTGAGTCCTTAGCACTTAACCCCCTAACACTTTCGAAGCCTTGACATAACCCACCTCCCAAGCAGGTATACTTATAAAAGGCACGTTCCCCCATTGTGCCCCCAATGCAGTTTCTACATCAGTCTAAGTTCCAGTGTCAAATGGTGTCAGAGCCTGGTAGGGAGATCATGTGTGATGTCATGGCACCCCTAAGAGTGTCAGAGTTCAGGCCTGGTGATCGGCAGTATAGCCCCAGTACTGTGAGATAGTCACGTGCTCCCTCATACCAGAAGCTCGCTCTATTAAAGTAGGCTCCAGACTCCAGAGCATCAGAGCAGAGAGATGGCTGGGAAGTGTTGCAGGGTACGTATACAAATCTGGGATGTAGGCTATGCGCAGACAGTCACCATAGTCTTAATGAGTGAAATGACAATGTCTTTTCACCCAAACCCTAAAACAAGACCTTAAAACTAAACCTCCCAATAACATCTAACTCATCAACCGAACAACATAACACTAAGACTTGAAGCAGAACTATACTCCCCATCCCTTCAACAGGATCTACAGTCATCTTGATTGGCTGTCCCGGGAAGACGCAACTCCCACACATTCATGGTAGTCCATCCAGACATATGCTGAAATTGTACACCGAGTTGCGTTCGAGATTGGTTCATTATCGAGCAGGCAAAAATGCTTTATTACAGAGTAGACAAAATAGGTCTTCTTCTGCAATAACAAGCCTGCCTGTTTGCATTTTTTTTAATATTATATGTAAAGTTCCACTTTAATCTAACCTCTAAATGAGGTTAGCTCTAACCTGTAGGCTATTTATTACAAAAGCAATACAACCCATCAAACACCATTGCTAGATTGCTTTTAAAATGTGAAAAATTACATCAGGCAAATGTATAGATGTATGCTTTCCAGAACTCGGGTCAGAGCAGACTGTTATAAGTAAGCAAAGACTTACTTCAAATTAAAAACCTGAAAGATCAGCAGTGGTTTTGGGGACATTATATAATGCTGTCTGCTAATGAAGAACAACTAAATTAAAGGTTCATGTAAAAAAAAAAAGAAAGAAGAGTTTGTGTTGAATCCTTCAAAATGTAAATAATGTATAAACCAAGACCCTAGGAAAATTACAGGACCATCTGTTATCCGCCAACCATCTGCTTCTACATGCAAAATAAGCTCCATTTCCACCTGGGTCCAAAGCCATCCTCAGGAAATTAACAGAGACAGAGCAATGTATCTAATGCAGGATCTCTTTTAAAGGACATATCCACCTATAGTTAATATTACCATTAGGTGGGTGTCATCAGAAAACCCTACTGGTTTCTTGAATATCCCTAGAGCCAAGCCAGGGGAATTTCCCCAATGACACCCCGCATGTCTCCATTCATGTTCAGTCACTACAATAACTAAATCACCCTAGCCTCAAAAGTGAAGATCTGTCATTTTATAGGGATCATCAAGAAATGTCAATTGTGCCTAAGCAGTATCCTGAAAAAGCTACCTTGACTTGAATTCCTCTTTTCAGTGCCTAGCCACACATGTTCTGTAGCATCAGCCAGGGCTTGAAAAATTTTAGGGTGTCTCACCAGTCAGTCAAAAATGTCACCAGTCAGCATGACCGGACTATAGTCTTGCAATTTATGTTAACATTTTTGGGGGACAGCTTTCTTTTGGTGGTATATAAAGTCACGACGGGGGGCTATTTTTTTAACTATATAATGAAAAAAGTACTGTAAATTAAAAAAAAAAAAAAAACTAAGTTTCCCTATGTTATAAAACATCTATTCTTACCCATATTTTTGGTCAAACAAAAAAGACGGGGTCACGTCGGGTAAATAGACACCAAACATGTCAAACTTAAAATTGCGTGCGACCGCAAAAAAACGACCACACTGAAAATTGGCCATAGGGGCCGCTTAAAACACTTTTACCGCTCATCAGTTTAGTGTTATCAGTAATTAATAGCCCTAAAATTATTACTCACACTCCGACGTTCGCGGTTATATGTAACATGTGCGGCACAATAGGCGCAATCACTGTTTTCGCACATTTTTTTTCAAGTCCTGATCATAGCTGTGTATCTGCAGTGTGAATCCAAAGCACAGTTGCCTCTGGCTGATATCAGAGGATGTGAACGGAAATTTGGTGATGTTACTACTGTGCTGCTCCTTGCTGGAGGAGAAGAAGCTGTACCCGAGGACCTGTAGTGTGGAGAATGCCCTGCTTCTTTACCATTCATTCTGTGGATCTGCTTTTTACACCCCGTCTGCTGTTTTTTAGTCATTACCCCAACAGTCATCAAATCACCCGTCATCATAGGGGCAGCTCTGAGAAGGGGAGGCAAAACCCTGCCTGTATTAATATGGGTGCCTCCACACAGACACATTGCCAACCAAAGCATTCCAAGTCAGTAATGGGGAAAAGAGCAGCCTAAAAAGTGCTTCTTGATCACAGTGTCTTTTTAAGTGTATCCTGGCTCATTCACAGCATGGTGTTGCATTACCAAAAATGTAGCGGGTACTGAATAAGAGCTGTCGTGGTATGTTGGGCAGAACATTTAATAATTGGGCTGTGTCAGGCAATAAAACATTGATGCATGACATAACACATCTTAAAAAGGAGAACTATGAGGTGAGTGCTTTTCACTCACCTCATAGTTCTAGCAGACCTGTGACAATGAGACTGTCACAGGTCGGCTCAGTAGATCGGGAGGTGAGGGAACACATACCGGGTTCCCTCACCTCTCGATCCTGTCACGGCTCTCTGCCGTGACAGGGGGAGGGGCTGGATTCCCCTCTCCCCGCTCCGATCTGCCAGCGCTGACTGGTGGAACGGACGGGGGAGGGTACAGCTGGCTCTGCCTCTAGATAGGCAGAGCCAGCTGTCACTCACGCAGCTGGGCGGATCCCGTCGTCTAAGTCGGGATCCGCTCCGGCGTCTCAGTATACCGAGCCTAGGGTAACGGGAGGACGCTAGTTTGTGTCCTCCCGTTACCCTAAGGAGAACTATGGGGAAAAACACTGACCCCATAGTTCTCCTTTAACCACCACGGTGTGAACGGGCCGTTAGAATCACAGCCTACCTTTTCAGTACATCAGATTTGAATTCTGGCATTACTATGTGTGATGGGCAACAGTCCATTTTGCCAATAATCTGGTTATCCCGTAGTGCTGACTTGTTTCTAATGCAGAGATGTTCCTCTGTAGGCTTCTTGCCGTCTCTCACATACGGGGCGATATGTCAAGGTGTCAGTCATAAGTTTCTCACAGCAACCAATCAAACTGATTTCAGCAAGCAGAGAAAAAAAGAGGAATCTTCTCAGCATACATTCAGAAAGCAGAGCCACCCAACCTACATGTGAGGGACTTTGTAAAATGTAGCTGCAGTGGATTACTGTGAAATCTGTCCTCTGTGGTAAACTGAGTGGACTTCCAGACAAAACACTCCACGTGTAGAAGGCCCTTAGTAACTAATTACAGCAATCAGTGCAGATGTGATCTCATTGTCTCATTACCTGGCTGCAATGACAGGGAGCCATGGTGTCAGCTCATCAGAATGGTTGCCTATTATCCAGTCTGCATCCGGAAATACATGCTCATCGCTTGGGGTGATGGCATGCTCCTAGGATAGAGAAAGGAGAAGTCTCCAAAAACAGCCTTTTACCAAGGACTAACACTTGACAAAGAACTTACCGACTGTGTATAATACAGAATATTCCTATGCAATATTTCATATTTACCGCAATCAAATAAAATGTTTTTTCTTTTAGTCCTGAATATAATAAAGAAAATCTATACAAAGCCACTATACATCTCTTTGGGAGACAGGAGCAATGAGATACATGATGATTAACTAACACTTCTAAGTAGGAAGCATAGATTGTATATGTAATGAGCAAATATGGGTGTTGCTATGAGCATATATTTATTTCTACAAATGATATGCAAGAAATGACATCACATCTTGGAGTGCATCGTCCTGTCAGTTACACCCGTTTCCTCTGAGTGACTGCTCTCCTCTGTTTTATTACAGACTGCTAAAACTTTAGGGGCCGCCCCTAAACGGAGCTTTTATTTTGTGCCTTGTGTTCTACTCCTGAAGGTGGCACTTTAACCTACTGGTCAAGATCTGAAGATCTCCGCTGCGTCCTTCAATGAACGAAAGAGACATTTTTGTTTTTGGATAGAATTCCTAGTGGCCAACAATGTTCAACCGACATTTTTGTAAACGGCTCCTTCAGCAAAAGTTGAATAAAAATTCAACTTTTGTCAGGCCTGGTGGTGCCAGCAGAGCCAAACATGGATTGAGTTTCGGGCGGTTAAGCACCATCTAGTGGCCACAATGCAGTATTACATTACATTACATTCAATGGACCTGAAAAGAAATGATATCCAAGAACAATAATTTTTACTTCTATTCATACAGAACGAATGTTCATAAAGATTTTCAAGGTGAATGGCTCTGTGAATTGTTTATGAAAAGACTGCAAAGTGTCACCAGGACAAGAAGTGAGAAGAAATTTCCTCTGAGGCGATACAGAGAGCCATAAAACTCAAGGTGCCGTCCTGAAAGACGCTCAAGGAAAAAATACAGTTTCTCTTTAAGCACAGTAATAACACATTCTGGAATGAATTTATATTAAAAGCTCTTTACCACACAAACTAGCTGAAGGGACCTTATTCAAATAATGCAAAACTACTTCACCTAGAAAGGCCTCTTGTCAAGCAATAAACAATTGAAATGAAAAACATGCGGATTAATATTCAAATGTCTCATTGTGAAGCTCTTGGGCATTGTGTGTGTTGAAGCATACAGCTATCGCCAGTTTAAAATGTCACCATTGAAACAGAAGCACGGGCTTAGCTCTAGAACAGAATTCTAATGTACCTCTAAAATAGTTTGTGGTCCATACATATCCCAGATTTTCCTTTTTCGGACATCAATGCCTCGACCCGGGTGCTGGTTAACATTTAAATGAAATGCAGAGCATTAGTTTTTGAACTGTGCGGAAAGGTCATGTCACAAACAGCATGTAAATGAAAAAGGTTTTGTCAAAAGCAAAATATGAAAATAAGATTACTGTGTAGAGCTAAATCTGCGCATTGCCAGTGATATAGGAAAAAACGCTTAACGTGATTTTGCCACTTCAAAATTGAGCAGATACAGCTCCTAGCGGGTATTAAAGCTGAACTTAGCCCAGAATTTAAAGGGTAACTCCATTTCAAAATATAACAATGAAGAAATCTTAATAATATAGCATATATCATTATTGTACAAGCCATTTTGTAATTTATTATTAAAGAGTACCATTCCATTTAAAACTGTAGCTGCTGTAATGTTCTTAAACTGTCAAAAAATGAAACGCAATATGGCGACCTGGAGGTTTTTCTGTACACAGATGGCACAAAGAACTACCCCAGAAAGGTCACTTCCTGCACCTGTAAATGGCTGACTGATATTCCCAGAAGTCTGCAGTAAGATGCATGTAAAACTTTAGGCCTCCTTCAATATTAAATTTTTTTTTGGTAAGACACTCCCCAAGGGCTAATTACTACTAAAGGGATGCAGACAACTTTCCTTATTACAACATAGGAAGCCCACCAGCTGAACACAGACACCCCCATTCAGGGATCCGTTTGGAAAGGACACGCTGCAATAAACATCTTTATTTCTTTAGAAACAGGTAGAAATCTGCAACATACCAGTAGTTGGATAAAATCTTTGCAGTGTACTCAAATCAACCAGAGAGGATTGATCTGTTTCTCAACAAAGGTGGAGTTACTTTTTAAACATTTGTAAACAGGAAGGATTTTTATTACAGAACGTACTAGGTCTAATCTGCAGTAAAGGCGTCTTACCTTCCTCCTCGCAATGTGCTTCACAGTGTACAAGGAGCTGTGCATACGCAGCAAAATGTACATTCTCGGCATTCCTCGCCGCCATCTCCTCTACCAGATTTTTCCAGGGTCAGGGTCTGCAGGCAAATTCATGGCTGGGCCAGGATGATGACTGCCACACATGCACACGAGCTCAGTCATCCTGGCCTAGCCAATCAAGATGGCTGAAGACCCCGAACCTGGAAGAAGCTGGTAGAGAAGATGACGGCGCTAGCAAGAAGGTTTTCGGACATTGCGTCGCTGGAGGGGAGGTGAGTACTGAAGGGTTAAGTTACACTTTGAAGTAGAAGTAAACTGCATATTTAAAGAAAAATTGCTGACAGGCAGGTTTCATATGTCAGAAGAAAGTGTAAGTCTCTTCTCCCAAAAATTCTGAGCAATTTTTTTTCTTCCTTTCCATGCATGTGCAGCTGAGCGCGCAGACCTGGCAAGCAGAGATGAAGTAATTCAAATGCACACACAGGGAGTTGCATCGTGCCAGCCAAGCCAATCGAGCAGCCAAAGATGCTGAACCTGGAAGCAGCCCAGGTAAAGACGGCAGTGCTGGCAACAGAGAGGGGAGCGGACAGCACAGTGCTGGAGGGGATCATTTGCAAGGTAAGTGAGCCATATGCTATGTATATTTGCACATTATTGCAAACACCTACCGGGGTGGGGGGGGTCATTTTTCCTTTGGCATACCCCACTTTACTTCTGTTTTAAGTGCAGGCAGCTGACACTTCCAGGTAGCATCAGAACATGGCCATAAGCTCAAGCCCCTCAGACACTTATATTGGTCAATGAGGCAGCCCATCAGAGATGGACCATTAGGGTTGTGTGTGTGTGTACACCGATGTGGAAAAGGGAGCGCACAGGATAGCTCTAAAACTATCTGGAAGTGTTGGCGCTTTGCACATTCAAAATGCCCAGGCAATATGAGTCACTTTACATGAAACCTGTTCTGAACACAGTATGCAGGCTGCCATGGCTGACCTTCTTCTGAAAATGCTAGTTGAATGGCCACATTTTGTCTCACTAATTTGCATCACTTACCTGGGACAAAAATAAGCTAGTGAAGTCAAACTCCTGATCTACATACCTTTTTTTAGCCCAGTTACTCAGTAAGTATTAGAGCCACTGGATTAGCATGACAGCCGGGCATGTCAGCAATAGTCATTCAAACAAATTATTTAGCTTGCCCCTTCTACACTACACTGCTGGACTAGAAAACTCCCCCCTCTCATCTACATAACCAAAGAGGTAGGTCAATCCTCAGATCCTGGCCTGTTGGGCTGTTACCAAGAGACATGAAATTGGGCAATGGTTATCTCATATCTATGGGTACTGTTAATAAAACAAACAAAAAAAATCCATCTCGTCTAAATTTGGACTATACGCGATTTATAACACCTTTCGTTTTTCAATCTACCTTTACCAAAACACAATTTTAACAAATGTATACATTTACCTCTTCATTGCTTAAAATATGAACCAAGAGTCCATTCCCACATCCCAAGTCGATAAAAGATTGCTTCTTTTGTAGATTGTTCAATAATCGTTCCTCTTCCCATAAAATCTACAAAACATTAAAAACAATACCAAGGAAAGGTATGAAAATGCCATCCTAATATACGTTCTTGCACCAACCTGTGGCCTTTTTAACCAGTTAAAGCCCAAATCCAGGTGAAAACTTTTAACCCTTGCAGCGGGGCTACTCTCTCTCTCCCTCCAGCGATCTAAGGTCCCATGAGTCATCACATCCAATATACAGTGTACAGGACATGAGGACGCCGAAGGACATATCATCGCTGCAGCTGTGGAGGAGACAGGCTGGAGGAAGTGCTGTAACAGTCATCCAGCTGTGAGGATCGGGTAAGTATAACTTCTTCATTAAGGATCTTGTATATTTAATATGAAGGGTTTATGACCAAAAGAGCAGGCACCCATGAAGGAGGTAGAGAGGAGAACCTGCACAGACATGCAGGTTCAGGTCGGCATGTAGCCGCTTCCTCCCATAGGTAGGTGCAGGTAACCGCAGGCAATTACACGCAGTACTTGTCCCTCTTGGGAGCAGGTCTCTACACAGGCATGCATGCCCTATGGATGTGCATGTCCGCGTGAATGAGGCTTCATAGAGACCAAAATTAGGCCAGGAAGAACATGGCGGCTGCACGCAATTACATGCAGCACCTTTCCCACCCGGGAGCAGGTCTCTACACATATATGCATGCCCTATGGATGTACACGCCCATGCGAATGTGGCGACCAATATTAGGCCAGGGAGAACATGGTGGCTGCACGCAATTACATGCAGCACCTGTCCCTCCCGGGAGCAGGTCTCTGCATGGGCGTGCCCACCATATGGATGTGCATATCTGTGAGAAAAATACCTTATAGAGAGACCAACATTAGTCCAGAGAGCACACGTCTAAGGATAAAACAAAGTCAGTTAAGGTAAGCTAAGATGAAAATCTCCCCAGTGCAGTCACTGCACATTACAGTGACAAATGCTATACCTTGCTGGCATCCATTCATGTCTGAATTATTACTCTCTCTAAAATATTTTAGCAGCTCTTTTTGTGTAAACCAAAAAAATATGTTTCTAGCCACCTAGAGCACTTCACTGAAATTAAAGCCCAGTCTGTGAAAGAAAACAATACTTGTTCCACTGCCTGTGCCGCTGATCGTGCTCTCTACTGCTGCCAAAAAAACTTCTGCATCTGACAAACTTTGTGGTGTGCCTAGTCTCCCTCCGCATTCTGCGGCTATTCCCGCTGCCCCGTACGTTACTGCTATGCCCTATCAGACACTCCTAAAAGTGGCAGGTATCAGACACTAAAAGTGACACTCCTTTATAATCTCTTACAAACCGTAATCTTCTACTTTTAAATTGACTCCACTGATCAGAAATACCTGCTGATCCTGCAAGTCCCCCTTCTTTCGTTTTGTAAACTGACTGCGCCAAACACAGAAGCAGATCCGTGCTGGCGTGGTCAGTCTGCACCTGTGTTTCTTTGTCAGACTTGAAGGGGCACGGCCTGGCTATCTCTGCAGGTACTTTTCTAGATGCGCCCGCCCTGCGCAGCCAGTGGGAGCATAGCCTGCAGAGGGGGCACGCTACTAAAGCGCAACATGCACAAATGGAGAAAGTACTTCCCTGTATGTCACATACACATGCCCCTCCCCTAGGTGGAATTAGGAAGCTATAAAAAGACTCTGTGGTCACGTGACTAGAATTTTTTTCTCTAACACAAATGCATAATGGGTCACATGTTATTTCCTTTAGTATTTATTGACAGGGGGGGGGGGAGATTTATCAAAACCGTAGCAGATAAACCTGTTTGTTTCAAAACGTAATTGAACAAACAGAAAAGAGAAGATGATTGGGTGCCATAAGAAAACTGTCTGCTCCGGTTTTGATAAATTCCCCCCGGTATGTTCACATTCACATGTTCACTTTAAAGTGCAAACCTCAAATCTATTTTTCAATCTGCAGTACAAAAGTTTTCCTGAAGGTAAAGTCCACTTTTTAAGAAAAAAAAAAAAATCATAAAATCATGAATGCACACTTCCTCATAAAATAAAAAAAACATTTTATTTACATTTACTTGCGTTGGAGCTAGTAAAGCATTGTAACCATGAACACTAGATCGCGTTTGCAATGCTCTGACTCCTGCAGACTCTTCTTCCTGTCCTGTCTTTTGGAGGAGTACCGATAGACATTGAGTAACATAGATAGGAGGAAGAATGAATTGACTACAAGTGCAGCGACGTCACCAAAAGATGATACGGCTTTGTGGGTGGAGCTACGCATCGCCATGTCAAATTCAAGTATAGCAGCAGCCTGCAGGGAGAAGGACCCCACCATTCAGGGAAGTGGGTGACGATGTGACCATGTTTCACGTTTGTGACGGACTGAACCGTCACTGGGGCTGCTGGAGGAGCCTAAGGGCTAGCCTCCTTCCTAGCAACTACGGACCTAGAATTATGGAGACCCTCCTTGTTGGGTTGAACCGGGTGTCCGGGGCCCATGGACAGCTGTTGCGGGGGAGCCTGGCCCTACAGCCGTCCAATTTCACAATTCGATAACGGCTCTGGAAACCTAATGTTAATGACAATGGATTATCCCAGCAGACGGACCAATCCCTGCGGTCCTGTTTCAAGCCTTCATTTGCATGGCCACACATATCAGCCCTCCCATTCAAGCTATCGGACCAATCCCTGCTGACTCTGTTTCAAGTCTTCATTTGCATGACCAATAGGAAGGTGTTGGTTTGGGCGGGGTGTTCAAACTGTTGTGTATAAAAGTGTGTTGTGTGCATTCAATAAAGCAGATTGTTGTTGGAACATACAGCCTGCCTGGTGTTTGTTCTGAGCCATCACAACTGGATTCGAACGGCACATATCTGTAGTTCGAATCTGTAACATGAAACATGGTCCAAAAAGTGAACTTAGACCTTTAAACAGATTTTTATGTGATTTGGTTACAAAGTTTTTTGTTTTTTTTTACCTGAAGATCCTGCCAGTAACAGCTCTTCATCTTACAGACGTACAACACTAAGCCAATGCTTCACAATTAGCATCAGAGAAGTCAGCCTGCCATTCACGCTCCTTCAGTTGGCAGCTGGGTGCAAACCTGAGAGCCAGCCCAATGGCCAACGGAAGCAGTGGGCATGGTGGGGTCACAACGCTGCTTCCTATTGCGAGGCACTGGCTTAGTGCTGTTAGTCTGCAACAGGAAGTGCTCTTACTGGCAGGATCTCCTGGTAAGAAACTTAGCAAGGGGTTCGAAAAACATTATTTGCATAAGGAAACTGTATACAGTGAGACATGCCAAACAAAGTGAAAAATAGATTTAGGTTTTACATACACTTTAACTGTGTTCCATTACAGGATGGTCTTTCTTTATTTTTTGGAAGCGACAGGGTCACTTTACTATACCCATCTGTATTTTTAGTGACATACAGACACGTGCATAGAGCAGAACTGAACAAGTGTGTAATGACATTTGAGTCACCTTCTTCCAGGAAAAAACCTTTAATGTCAGAGCCATTCCGGCACACTATATGGACATTTGAGGAACAGATTCAGGTTGGAATATGTGCAATAAAAAAAAAGAGCCGGTGCTTCTTCCGGCAAGCATCAGACTTACTAATAGGTAGGTTGCTATGGCGACATCCTCATACACAAACTTTTCAGGGTCCGTCACTTCAGGCCAGACCTGCGGGGGAAACACAAGAATAGCACTTACTTTTGGAGGAGTTATTGATTTCTCATGCTAGAGTCATTCAGATGGGCATTGGACTGAGAAGGATAAACACTGCTAACAGAAAAAAGCCTGTACCCTGATCATCCGAAAGTCTTCAACTCTTTTATTGAACAGACAAGTTGACATGAAAAGTACAGTGACGGGCAAGTAGGCCCGATGCTCCCTGGAGGCCTATGAAAAGGGACGCCTACATATTCTCTCATTGAAAGCTTCCATTAACAGGCCCAGGAGTTGAACTGTATGGAATGGCAGCTCCATCTAAAAAAAGACGTAACCATGTTGGATGGAATGGGTTCGATTTCCCTTTCTTGTCCGATACCTTAGCTGGGAAATCCCTCCTCCTGATCGGCACTGGAAAACAGTGTGCCAGTTTTTGGCCATGCCACCGTTTTACAGCCAGCGTCTCTCTAGAAGTTTCAAAGCTTGCCAACAGCTTACTAATACCTGCTAGCGGTTAGTTTAAAGCTGCAGCCAGCACCCTCATTAATATCCATGTTTATAAACCTTAAACTGGAGCTGAAGGGTGATTTTAAGGCTTAAAAGCAGAACTCTGGGGACATTTTTTCAACTATGGGGGTAAGTGTTTTTCTCCATAGTTCTCTTTAGGATCACAGGAGGACATATACTATCATCCTCCTGTGACCCAAAGCTCAGTATAGCGCGTGTAATATACTGTGAGCGCCGCAGTCGGGACGGATCCCGACATTGCTGTCGAGATCCACCAAGCTGCGTGAGTGACAGCTGGCTCTGCCTATTTCGAGGCGAAGCCAGCTGCACCCGCCCCCTCCCCGTCTGTTCCCCCAGGTCAGCGCTGGAGGATCGGAGAGGGGGAATCTCTGCAGGAAGGGGTGATTGACAGTCACCGCTCACTGCAGGGAGACGATCAGGAAGTGAATGGATCGCCTGCATGTTTCTGCTCAATTCCCGATCGATAGAGCCGACCTGTGACAGCTTCTTTGTCACACGTCGGCTCTAACTATGAGGATGAGTGAAAATCACTCACCTCATAGATCTCCTTTAACCCTTGCAGTACGGCTACCCCCACACTGCAAGGGTTAAGGGTTCTTTTTTGTCTTGGTTTAAAAATAACAAAGTTATATTCATGCAATCCTCCGAGCCGGTCTGCGCTTAGACCGGTCTTTCCAGTGTCTCCCCTCCCCCCTCAGCTGCAGCGGTCTAAGGTCCCCGAGTCATCACATTGTATAAATTATAATTTTTCCCCAGGGCTTGGCTTTAGCAAAAATCCAGATTTCTCATATGGAAAAAGTAAGTACACCACGTTTACCATAACTTGAAATGAAAATCTGGCGTTCCAGACTAGGCCCAAAATAAAGAAACCTCCTTAGGGAGTATACAGATGGAACATGTGTTATTTAATCCATAGATATCTTGGGCTTGCTGCTCTTTGCTATTGACTTGTGTGGTGTCATTGTGCCAAGACCAATGGCGCTCTCTTAGGGCCCATTCACACCACATCATCTTTAGACCAGACCAGATTGTTTCCGGACCCAAAATGCATCCTAATGTATCCCTATGCTATTTCTGGCCTCTATTCACACCAGCGCAGTCCTTCCAGACCAGACCAGACTAGACAAATACTGCATGTCTCATTTTGTCTGGTCTGGAAAGCATTGGAACTGCAGGTGGGTTCACACCATTTTCCGGACCAGGTGTGGTCTGGAAAATGGTGCGAACCTGCCTTCAGGCTTAAATTCAAGCATTCGACTGTAAGGAAAATAATCAACAAGTGGTGTAGATTTTAAACAACCCCTAATTTGTCCAGGACTGGTTGGCCCAGCGAATTAAATAGTCTGATGCTAAAAGAAGTCTCCTAAAGTAAATATAGAGCAGGAGCTCTGGGAGGGGCGAGCTGAGTGAGAACAACTCCAGTGCTTCTGTTGTAAATTTTAAGCATGAATCGCTCCACAGTGCCTGCAGCTACAGAGGTCTGAGAGTCTTGCTTTGAAGCAGAACTTAATCCCCACATGACATTTACCTGAACTAATAACTTTAACCCTTGTACTCACAGTTCAGAGTACCTTGTTACTGTCCTACTTAAACTGCTTCTTTGCTGATGCACATGTACACTACTCTTGGTATCCAAGCAACGCTGAGAAGGAAATTACTCTACTGGGGAGATATTATTCACTCATGAGTCCTGTGGTTCCTAGGTCGACTCACTATAAACATTCCCTTAGCAAAATGTGCATGTGCGATGATTGATGTAAACTGTGGGAAGCCTTCACATTCCCTGAAGTTGGGCATCTACCAATATCAGACACTGGCGTGCAGTGAGGAGGTGCTCATAAATGAGATCAGTCTGTGGGGTTTATGGATGCCATGAACACTGTAAGAACTACCTATTTTAGGGACTATTGTGTTAATGTATTTTTTTTAATAGCTGCAGTTCCACTTTAAAGTTAATATACGATTTGTTAGGAATATGTCAATACTTGAATGCTTATAGCTTAGCTCACTTTATGAAAACTGCCTGAAGCATACTAAAAGCTTTGCAAATGTTTTTTGGAAGCTCGTCGTGCACACTGATCTTATACAAGCTGAAGGGTGTGGGTACATAACCCAAGACAAACAGGGACCTTTACAGAGACAGAAATTAATTGGAGAAACAGAGTGGCTGACAATGAAAGAGGGTGTGTGAAATGGACTGTCTATGACAGACAACAGCTATGAGGAAAGCTTTCACCATTGATTCCTCACAGGCGGAGTGAATTTGGTATCACTCCGCCTGTGACAGTAGCCGGCACTGTAGAGGAAGCATCGGCTTATGCGGTTCTGCTCCCTCCTCTAGGGCTGGCTTCGTTGGCACCGCTGATTCTCTCCCGTCGCTCTTCAAGTTCCACCTTATGCCACCACCGGCCCTGGGAATGGTCACAGCTAGGTCTTATTTTCGAGGTAGGTCTTAAATTTTTGCAATTGCCAAAAATAGTACTAGGTCTTATTTTTGGGGTAGGTCTTATTTTTGGGGAAACAGGGTACTAGGGATGCACCGATACAAAGTACCGTACTCGGTACAAGTACAGATACTTTTTGAGCTCCAAGACTAGACTAAAAATTCATAACTTAGGAGGCAGCTGTCATTTGTAAGGAGCACAAGGAGCTCCTGGGATTTGTGCATCTCTGTTTTAATGTACGATTTGTTTATATAAATATATATATATATATAAGGGATGCACCGATACCATGTATCGGCACAGGTATGTGGACATCCCTAGTATGCACCCCATAGTTTGAGCCGACGTGTGACACTAACTGTCACACGCCGGCTCTTTATCTTAAGAACTGAGCAATCACAAACCACTGATCACTCAGCTCATGCAGAGAATGGTGACGGTCATTCACTGCTCCCAGCAGGAACTCCTCTCTCTCCTCTCCTTGTTCCTCCAGCGATCATTAGATAGACAGACAGGGGATGGGGTGGGCTCTGGCTCTAGAGTGGATCTCGACAACATAGTTGGGATCTTTCCTGGCTGCAGGATGGCTCTGCGCTGTCAGCATATAGCAGGCTACATGCCCGTTACCTGCTGACATTGAGTCACAGGAGTACATTAGTAAAACGCACTCCTGTGACCCAAGAACCAACGCCGAAAAAGTATTGGCTATAGTTTTCTTCTAAGCCAGCATAACCCAGTTTGAGTCTATGTACTATGTGACACTCATCCTGAAGGTTTTTAAAAATGGAACCTTTTCAATTATGAAGTGACTGTAAAAATATGCAGCTGTACTTAGAATAAAACTTAACCAAGATGGTTTACCCATCATCTCATGATTAGTGCTGCTGGAAAACGATATGTGGCCTATAATGACAGACCGCGTGCCTGGGAAACAATTCATTCTTATGATTTCATTTAATCTCTCTGTTAAGAAATTAACAGTTTGGGAAGGAAGTGATGGATGAATGCCAGCTACCTTCACCATATCTTTGTATTTCTCCTTCAGGCTCTGATACAGCTTGCTATATTTATCCACAGCAATGAGAGATAGGGTGTTCTTAAAGTCGCTTCTCCTGTCCTCTGTGGACCACTTTGCAAGCTTTGACAGCAGCTCATTTTTCATCCAGGAGATTTTAGGGTATACAACGCCATCAGAGTCCCAGCCTTCTGAATAGAGAGTAATGAGGGAGAGGGACCTGGAAAAAAAACAAAGCAGAAAACGGGGAATGTAAATATGAAACCAGAGACCTTAAATTTACCAACCTATTTGCCCAATATGTATATATTAAAAGTACAACTAAACCCTGAAATGGCTTTCCCTAGACTATGTAAACATATGCTTTTTAAAAAACGCTTATCCTTTTTGCTTGTTAACCCCTTCATGACTGAGGCCCTTTTTTCATTTTTTGCACCCATGTTATATTCCACATTTTAGGCCTGAAAATGACGTAAAACCCCCCAACATTATATATTTTCTGAATGCCAAGACCCTATAGAATAAAATGGTGGTAGTTGAAAATTTTTATGTTGCGCAATATTAGCGCAACTCCTTATTAAACCCCAAAATTTTGTGACAAATTTAATTAAATGCCCCAAAACACAACAAATTACCCATTTTTTTAATGAAATATAAAAGATGAGGTTACAACGAGTAAAACGATACCCAACATGCCCAGTTTACAGATTGCGTGCGACCGTGAAACGGCGAAAAACTGCAGTACCCCAAAAAATACACTGTACGTCGTCAGTCACCAAGGGGTTAATGAGCTGCGTCTGTCCAATGAGGACGGGGGCCCCTTGTCCACTTCCATTTTGTGCATTCACACCATATACACTTGTGCTCATAAGTTTACATACCCTGGCAGAATTTATGATTTATGATTTCCTAGCCATTTTTCAGACAATATGAATGATAACACGAAAACCTGTCACTCATGTGTAGTGTTTGGCTGAAGCCATTTATTATCAATCAACTGTGTTAACTCTTATTCAATCATAATGACAACAGAAACTACCCTGATCAAAAGTTTACATACCCCAGTTCTTAATACGGTGTGTTTCCCCCTTTAACATCAATGACAGCTTGAAGTCTTTTGTGGTATGTGTGGATGAGGCTCTTTATCTTCTCAGATGGTAAAGCTGCCCATTCTTCCTGGCAAAAAGCCTCCAGGTCCTGTAAATTCTTGGGCTGTCTTGCATGAACTGCACGTTTGAGATCTCCCCAGAGTGGCTCAATGATATTGAGGTCAGGAGACTGAGATGGCCACTCCAGAACCTTCACTTTATTCTGCTGTAGCCAATGACAGGTCGACTTGGCCTTGTGTTTAGGATCATTGTCATGTTGGAATGTCCAAGTACGTCCCATGCGCAGCTTCCGGGCTGATGCATGCAAATTGTCCTCCAGTATCTTTTGATAACATACTGCATTCATCGTGCCATCAATTCTGACCAACTTTCCTGTGCCTTTGTAGCTCACACATCCCCAAAACATCAGCGATCCACCTCCGTGTTTCACAGTAGGAATGGTGTACTTTTCATCATAGGCCTTGTTGACTCCTCTCCAAATGTAGCGTTTATGGTTGTGGCCGAAAAGCTCAATTTTGGTCTCATCACTCCAAATGACTTTGTGCCAGAAGGTTTGAGGCTTGTCTCTGTGCTGTTTGGCGTATTGTAAGCGGGATACTTTGTGGCATTTGCGTAGTAATGGCTTTCTTCTGGCGACTCAACCATGCAGCCCATCTTTCTTCAAGTGCCTCCTTATTGTGCATCTTGCAACAGCCACACCACATGTTTTCAGAGTGTCCTGTATTTCACCTGAAGTTATTTGTGGGTTTTTCTTTGCATCCCGAACAATTTTCCTGGCAGTTGTGGCTGACAGTTTAGTTGGTCTACCTGACCGTGGTTTGGTTTCAACAGAACCCCTCATGTTCCACTTCTTGATTAGAGTTTGAACACTGCTGATTGGCATTCTCAATTCCTTGGATATCTTTTTATATCCCTTTCCTGTTCTATACAGTTCAATTACCTTTTCCCGCAGGTCCTTTGACAATTGTTTTGCTTTCCCCATGACTCAGAATCCAGACATGTCAGTGCAGCACTGGATGAAGGTTGCAAGGGTCTGTGAGGAGGCCAGGAACTCATTGGCCTTTTATACACACACACTGATTACATGCAAACAGATCACAGGTGAGGATGGTTCCCTTTAATAGCCATTAACACCCCTTTGTGTCAACCGGTGTGCATGTTATCAGGCCAAAATCACCAGGGCATGTAAACTTTTGATCAGGGTCATTTGGGTAGTTTCTGTTGTCATTATGATTGGAAAAGAGTAAACACAGTTGATTGATAATAAATGGCTTCAGCCAAACACTACCCATGAGTGACAAAGGTTTTCGTGTTATCATTCGTGTTATCATTCATATTCTCTGAAAAATGGCCAGGAAATCCTAAATTCTGCCAGGGTATGTAAACTTATGAGCACAATTGTACACAGAAGCATGTCCCTATTGGATGAAATTGGCATCCCACAATGCCTTGTGTTCCCTGAGGACTCCAAATCCTAGAGTGGCAATGTTGCTTCTGTTTAGGGAGCTGATCAAAACCTGATCACCCTAAGATTGGAAGAAGAGAAATTGGCTGGTTCACCAGGTAAAAAAGATGAAAAAGGAGCAAAATATTAGTCCCCTGGTAAGAGTGGAGGGAAAACAACTAGAAAACTGTGGGAGGTGGAAACAGGTCCCAATCTAAAGGAGGATTTTACCCTCCCTTGAAAATTAGTTTTAAACGTGAACAAACACTCTTTAAAAAACCCTCTAGTAACAAATTCCACATGTACTCAAGAACCAGAAATACTTACCTCTTCCAACCTGAATTATAATTTTCAACAGGGCTAGTGAAATTATCATATTCAAGAGCACTGGTTGGAGGTGATCTCTGCTGAATGGGAGGACCAGAACTCAGGAAGCCACCATGAGTACCAACATGAAGAATTTCAGGATTCCGGAGATAGGCAATCCTTTTATTTAAAGTGACCCCAGTATTCATTACGCTACCCCATCTAACAGTACCTCTGTTGAAATGATTATTTTGTTTTCCCATCGACCCCACCACAATGCAGCAACAGGCAATGAGACCTTGGTACCACTTTAGGCTTGCGTCTCCTACAGGAACCAGCTGCGGGTGCCAAGGGCTTTCACAGCAACCACTCCACATCCAATATTAGTAACATAAAGCAACAAAGCTGCATTTCCACTGAATTCCAAGATATAACAGTTTATTGTTTACACGGGCTCATGTCCTGACAGAAGCAGGTTCCACACCTGATGCGTTTCTACCCTAACTGGACTCAGTCATGGAGGAATCCAATGTTGGTTAAGGAGCCCGAGTTCAGCAGTAGATACACTAACATCAACAGAACATTTTTAACTTTTAGAATTCAGAGGAGATGTGTGTTTGTTGCCATATGTTAATCATTGAAGTCAATCGGGGGAAATGCAACTTATACCTGATGACTCCCTTTCCAGGAATCCTCCAGGGCAGTTTACATGAGAGATGGCTCCGCTCACCTACAGGAAACACAAGAACTAGAGCATTTAAAAGCCCTCCTGTATGCTCCCAGGCCTCAGTATTAGCAAGATGACTATACAGGACAACAATATTACTTGCAGTCATAGTCCTGGAGGATTCCTGGAAAAGTAGTTATCAGATAATAACTTGAATTTTCCTCAGTCATCTGCACGATGGTTTACTTGTAAGATTAGCAAAATGTATCTCTATGGTGAGACCACTGCCTGGAGTGCCTTCGTTCCTAAAGCCCTGTTCCCACTGGAACTAACCAACATGTTGTATATAATAAAGTGACTACTACCAGTGACACCCACATAACAGGTATGAGCTTTGTGTTGTACTGAAACCATATGGCAGAACACACGTCGTAATGCATGGTGGCTTGAAAATAAGCAATCTCTGATACTACAGATTCTTTATCGTTGTGTCAAGAGACACACAGGCATTCGCAACGTCACTTCCAGAACGTCAACCAGAAAGCTCCCTATTGCAGCCCATGATGCACAAGTGTCTTATTTACACTCCAGATACAAGTGATGGTAAAAAAGCCCGCCAGAACCACCAGCGTGAAGATACCAGTGAGGAGAGGGATTAGCTGCAGTTTAAGGGGGAGGTTTTGATGGCTGCCACTGGAACGACTGGAGGTCACTTAATAAAAGGAAGGAAGGGAAGCACAGTGTGACCCATTTCCAGACATTCTCCCCATGCCCCTGTATCTTGAATCTATGAGTCTCACTGGTCCGCTCATATGGAGGTTGGCTAGCAGGGGCAGTCTTTGACAACTTCAGAAAGACCACATGGGGAAAAATAACAAACAGAAGTGAGCACAGGTGTATATGCAGGAGGCAGGAAACACAGGAACTGTGGGCATGGAGCTACTGGAGAGCTTTTTAAACTCTCTAGGTCTTCCTGCAGGTGGGCTGCACTATCTCTCAAATAAACCGTCCTGGAGGATGACTTGGAAAAATATGGATCATGAATATGGATTATGTCATTGTACCCAAGCATTCCTCATGGACAGACTTCTGAAGGTAAAGCAGATTTATGCAAAAAGGATTTTTACAGTTGTCTAGGTATTGCTACAGAGCTAATACAGGGAAGAGGGGGCAATAAAAACCTTATAGCAACATCTATACACAAGTACGGTTAGATGGGATGGGATGGCATGGCATAAGGAACAGCAAGGGTCAGTTTAAGTGGGGTGAATTTTCTAAGGGCCATTTACATGTCAAGTATAGGTTAGGTTTATAAGACTTGTCACATTTACAAAGGCTATTTTCAAACCAATGATCTACTCTGCAGTTAATAAAGATGTCAACTTGGAGATAGGTTTCCGAGACAGGACTAAAGACATTGTCTGCAATATTAATAAAGTAAACCTCAAATCTTCATAAAAAGGAGTTGTTCTGCTTGAAATGCACATCTAGGGGTTAATTAAAAACATAACCTGTCTGGCAGCATCCCGTTAATCAACAACTTACAGAAAACAAGTACGGATACGCACAAAGCATTATAAGTGCCCGAATCCTCATAACGCATGCAATTTAAAAGTGAAAAAACAGCCCTAATGACTTCCAAAGACAAGATAAAATGTCGGATAACAAAATAACAGCACAAGAATGTAATTTAA